TAGCTTAGGATCTTTATTCTCTGTGAGATCATCTCATATAGAAATAGTCATTGGCTGGGTAGTGCTGCAAATTTAAATAAAGCATTGTAACATGAAAAAATTTAGTATTGATTAATTCATGTGATGTTATAAATTGGAGTTATTATTACAAAACATGTACTGACCTGTGATTTATCACACTTATGTCTCGAAAAGGATGTTCAATGCCCTGCTCACTTATTATTGTTCTTATGTCACTGATAAAGAGCACCAAACCTAGGATAACTGTGTTTATGATGTGCAATAACCTAGTTACTAAAACAATTTTTAAAATTGTAGAAATTCAAGAGTGATTAGTGTATAGAATACCATAGCGATCATCGGGGTCATTGTCATATGAGATTGAGGCAAGAGGCACATAGTGCACTTTGTTTGAGACTGTCTCAGTGGCAATAGGTTGCACTATTGTCCGTCCACCAAATCTAAGTGAGAACTCACCATCATGTTCTTTATATTTTGAGTTTACTGGTTCTAATGGTGCATTAGAAATTTGATAAACATTGTCTTTCTGGAAAACGTGTCCATACTCTTAGATTTGATTCTCAAACAGAGTTCCGCCCTTTCATATTGGTGCCCTAGAAAAGATAATAGCAAAATAATATTCAACTAAATTAGTGAGAATCATGTGTTGTATAATTATTTCTTTTATAACATGTACTATATATATACGATTTTCGACGGAATGAAAAAGACATATATGGTAGAATCGTAACCATAGAATATGACCCTAAGAAAAAAAAATAAGATGGTTAGAAATCCTTTATTTTTTAAACCCTCCTATTTGTAGCTCCACCCGGCTTTTCAAGACCGGGGCTGGCGCGAGGCAAACGAAGTGTAATTAAACTACGTATCTGGATTTAGTTTTTTTTCTGTGGAGAAATAAGAACCCGGGATTTTTCAATTACTTGGACCTTAACTTTGTAGTTCCTTGAAGTAGGCTTAAGATCTTTTAAGAAAGCTTGATTAGACGATGAACCTTTTTCTGGTTTCATGTTGTTTTCCTAGGCATGAAAGGATACATAAGTTGAGTATATAATCAAGCTGATTATTGTCATGTAACTGATACAGTATACTTTTTTACATTAAGAAAAAAAAAAAAGCTTATCTTTCTAAAATTCATAGAAATTTACTATATATATTTAATAATTATAATGAATGGCCCATGAGTCTGAATCCATACTGTATTATATATTCTGATCATCGCATGATTTGTTTAACACAAGAACCTATCCTTGTATTCTTTAGGCTAATTTCTTACTGGAAATTACACTAAATTAGGCTAATAATCACAGGCATGTAGTTGGTGAGGTTAATTTTGTAAAACTTCAATATATCATACTTAAAAATTACTTAGTTTTGCATAGAAATGTACTAATTGTTTTTGCTTCATTATCATAAAAAGAAACAAACCAAAATATTTTTGACCTGGAAATTTAATGCAAGTATGCATTTTATGTAAGATGCATGGTATAAGGTGTATATAATGTTTTGTCATTAATGGAAGCTAACAGAAGAGTTCATGCAGAATGTTTTTTTCATTAATAGCAGGTAACAGAATAAGTTTACATTGAATGCAATAGCTTCTTGTTACAGATTTTTCCTTACTTCTTTTAAGAGGGAATGATTTGCTTGCTATTAATGGTAACTATAATGAATACAAAATAAGAATAATGGACTGAGAACAAGTAACTTTAATATTTTTGCAGGGAAGAATGTATTTACCTTAGCAAGAGTAGCAATACTCAGATGGCACCTTCTGTGAGAGTGTTTAATGTTAGTGCTAGAAATGTTAGCTCATGATCAAAAGGCTATTTATAAGCTGAAGCAAGGTGTCCAATTATATTCATCAAACACTAAGAGACAAGAGTGTAATAGTTCTTTTGACAAATGAAGTCACTGCCTACACACTTGTGTTTGAAAATTTTTGAAATATTATTATTGCACAAGAAAAGATTTATTTCTTGACTAGGTAATCTAAATATATTCTAAAGCAATTTAAATTACAATTGGCACAACTATTGTGTAGCCTATAAGTTTTGCATCTCGTTCAAATAATTAGCAGAGAGAGAGAGAGATTTTAAAACGAACATGGACCAATAACAATGTAATTAATTTAGTAAAGGTAAAGAACATGATTTTGATATAAATTAGTATTAGTATTTGTATTATTATAATTATTTTTTTAATGATTTGCAATGGGATGTTCCTTCTTTTATTAATATAATTTATAGTGTGTAATTTTTTTTAAAGCTCTGAAATTTTAAATTTAATTTGGTAATTAAATTTTAATGTTTAATTTCTATTGAAATAATTAATATATTAGATGTTATAATATATCAAATAGTACTCTTAGATAGTTAAAATTCAAAATTGTAACCTTGAATTATAATATATTTCAAATTTTAAATGCCTTGACATTCATGGTACATATAAGGCTATTATCTTTTATGTGAAGGAATCAAAAAATAGGTAAGATTGTGTACTACAAGCATTTAATGCAAAGTGAGTATATTACTTCTACAATTTTAGAAAACTTTAAGGATACTTGTTTGTTTGTATTATTTATGCATGAATATTGTGATAGATTTGTACTTATAACATTCTATATAATTAAATGGGTGAGAATCAATTTTAATCAATCAAGTGCACCATATAATAACATATAGACCCATATCAAATTACTTTAATCGAGTCGATCATACTTGTATTCATGTGCTCTTTTTTTTCCCTTCCCACAATAGTACTGCATACTCGACCACATATTAGATTGATACATATTAAATGTAAATGCACGTATTTATTTAAAAGCAAGTTACTTTTAAAAATAAAATTATTTTTGTAAAGAAATATATGGTCTCACCAAAATATCAATAAGTTTTAATACTGTGTTTATGCGAAATGAAAATAAAATGTTTGTAGTGTATTATAAATGTGAAGAATACAAATTTTTTCTAAACTAATTGATCGTATAAAAATAATCCATACGTAATCTTTGTATATTCTAATTTAATTTTGCATGTAATTGTCGTGACTATTGCACAGCCTATAATTTAAACACCAATATGCATGATATCTTCGTAGAATATGAAGAGTTGTCTTCCAATTATACTTATATAAAATCTAGCTTCCCTGCATTTCTTCACACTTCTCCATATATATCATCATTAGCTATAAACCCTAGAATTTTCAGCTTTATACTATTTTCTCTCTTCTTCTAAACACTATTCAATGACAAATAATGCAGAAGCTTCTTCCTCTAATGGCAAGGAAATTTGCAAAGGTAATCGGAAATTAAGGGAGATAGTAAAATTCTGCATGCATTTAATTCGATTAGTTCTTTATATGCATCACAAGGGATGGGTATTAAAAGATTTTAGAATTGCAAAGATATCAGGAAGAGAGTGCGAGAAACCATGGATGATAAGACAGGGAAGAAGTTGTTGGCAAAGTGTGAATGGTATATGTTATATCTTAAACAAGTGAGGAACGGAATGCAGGAAAGTTGGATGAACTTATGAATAAGAAGGCTAGGCTTGATGAAATACTAAGAGAGGAAGAGCTGAAGGAGAAGATGGCAGAAAGAGAGAAAGGAAGGAGGATAAAAGAAAGAGAAAGCAGAAGGCAAAGGAAGAGGCAATTTTAAAGGAAAGGAAAGAAAAGGCTAGGAGAATTAAGCAATGGTATGAACCCGATTCTCCAATTAAATTCTCTGAAGAATCAGAATACGATTCTAACAATGATAAGCATTCTATCAATGATTTGGAGAGAATTTATGATGCAAATATATGGGGGTAATTATGCCTGATATTAATTTTGTACACGGTGGAGGGTTTGTTTCGAATATGTCTGCATTTTAATCCATCTTTAGAATATATAATAGCATCTCTTTTATCTGGAATACAACTTTTGTAACTTTTGAAATACATGTATTCCATATATGTAACCACAATACCTTTTGTATTGTTTACAACTTTTGTTTATGTTGATTTATGAAATATAATGAAATTCTAATCAATAGCTAATTGAAATTAATTAGTGCATTTTCATGTACATATAAATATTTTAATAGCATATTGTGTGCAATTTTTGTTGAATATATGTTTGTAGCAATTAGTATATTGTCATTGGATGTAATAATATAATAAAACTGAATAATTGAAACAATACTCTTCTGTTGTTTTACAATGGAAAGTTTTTTTTAGAAAGGATATACATCAGTTCTTGTACCAAAAGCTGATTGCTATTAATATATTATCTCTTAGTCCAGAGGATATATTATGTTACAAATAGGTTATTTCATAATAAAATACCATCAAATCGACTATTATTTTAAAGTAGCAGTTGGAAGTGCTCTTGTTATATAAAACGACGGTCTATTTTGTATGGAACCAAAATGCCCTGTGTCGCGAATTGATGCTGCCTATTAAGCATAAGTTCAATATATAATCTTCTGCATGATGATGCCTTGATATTCACCACCTTTGTCCAGATCCATATTGATAGTCTTTGTGAGACATTTTCCCCAAGAAAGATATAGGTGCAAAGGAATATACCTAGCTATCTGCAAATAATACAATTTAATACATATATTAAACTAAGTGAGAAAATATCACAGTTCAGGCTATTAATAGTAGTAGTGTTCATAAATAAATGATTACTAGGGTAGACAAGGTCTATTTAGTAGAGACTTTCTTGAATTTTTATTAGCAATTACAAGTCCTTCAAAATAACCAAACTATTTTATACCTTGATATCTGCACAACATTCTGAACCTACAAAGAAAATGTATATAGTTATTTAGTTTCAAAATTCTAATACTAACCAACATGTTAAAAGCAGGTGTAAAAGAAGAGTTGAGTGAAGAATATGCCTGTATGTAGGTAGACTATAAATAATGCCTGCCTTTTAATGAATACTGAATGCTACGATACTTCTGACTGTCGTTGTTGAAACTTGATCTGTCATTGGCTTAGATAAAACGATGTTTGAGCCATGGATAGGCCAACAAAAAGCTGCCCATGTGAGAAACAAGGACTGTTTAGATAGAGCCAAACCCGTGACATCAGAGTCTGTCCTTGAGCCTTATTGATGGTCATAGAAAAACTAAGTTTAATAGGAAACTGTCTTCTCTGAAACTTGAATGGATAATTAAGTGTTTCAGATGGCCGTAGATCTATTTGTGGAATGAAAACATGCTCTCCTACATGATGGCTAGTTATTATGGCATACTCAATTATATTAGGATAAAAATGCTTACATAGCATACGAGTACCATTGCAGAGACTTGATGTAGGAGCAAGATTCCTAAGTATAATGACATGACAATTTTCCTTTAACACTAATTCATGTGGACTCATACCACCAAGAGAAAGGGTATTTAAAAACTCTGTTGGATAAATACTTCCTGTATCACCGAGCAATAAATCATAGCTTTTATAACAAATAGATTTTCCAGGGAATTGATCAATTAGGCTATAGTTTATGTCATCTACAACAATGTTGAGAGAAGTCAAGATTGCTCGGTCAATAAACATGCTCTCATTGCAATTTGCCATTTTTACTTATGGGAAAACAAAATCAATAAGACCATTGATAGCATCTTCAAATTCATCAAATGGTATCATTGTATGCCGTGGCAAGTGAATCTGTACAATTTGTGTATTCTGGATCTGACCATTCCCTATGGCAAGTAAAATAAATCAGCAAATTGACCGTCTGTCCTTGCTCTCATATTGTCAGTGAGCCTGAACATGTGAAACTGGTTCCAAAGAGTCAAAGATACTAAACTTGCTTCGACAGCTTCATTCTGTGATTTCCTAGGCACAACAGGAAGCACTTGCCTAAAGTCTCCTCCAAAAACAATAACCTTCCCACCAAAAGGTAAAGACGGCGAACACTGATAACACAAAAGGACATCGACAACTTCAATATTTTCTTTCTTTGCCATTGAAGCTTCATCCCAAATTATTAAAGATGTTTCTTTTAGTAAAACAGCTAAGCTACTCTACTTTGGAACACAATAAGAGGCTGAAACTGCATGATCAATTAGAATCTTAAACTGTGAGTGCGCTATTTTGCTAGTGATTATGTTGGATGCTGCTATGCCCGATGAAGCAGTAGGCAAAACAATTTTACTCATTGCCCTGGTAGCTGCATGCATTGCATAGTTTAGGTAAGTCTTACCTGTACCCCCAGACCCATCAACAAAAAAAGCACCTGGTTATCCTGTCGTAACATTTTCCATGATAGAATCAAAAGCTACTTGCTGCTTAGAGTTGAGTTTTTAGCATGCTTCCTTATATATATCAGGTATAGGTGCATTTAGGGCATCAACAATATCCTAAGTCCTTCTGATTGCATCATCTGTCTCACACATTAGACCATCAAGCCCAAATTCATGTAAACTCTTTCTCTTCTCTTCTAAATACTGCTCAACAGCACGAACTGTTAACTGTTAGACTTTACCATGCTGGTGTAAATAATTACTTTCGAAATCTTCAGAAAGATGTGAATAAAATTTATTCCAGAGAGCAAGTGGATTATGTGGATTATAGACTATCAATATGGTAGCAAATAGGCGCCTTAATGCCCTAAGCATATGAGTTTAAGAAGCCTTTGACATACATTTGTCCACAGCATCATCTTCAGCTATAAGGCCAAGTTTGAGAGCAGCTTCTTGATAAGTTGCATGAATGTAACCATTAACAGTCCTAAGGTCTTCAAAAGACTTAGGCCCACAAACATTTGCAAGCAAAAGGCGCAGATAGTAGCGTTCACCTTCAGACAGTGCTACCAATGCCATCCTACCAATGCATATTCTTCTATTTCCACGCTTAGTCCATGTATTTGTAGATGCTGTCCAAATATAATACTCTGAGTATTCTGGATATAAATACTATGGCCCATCTGGATTTGCAACATTCATTGCAAAAAATTCTGTTAAAGCAGTTTTGTGTCGCTTGCTATCATTTACAACAGAGCTTAGACTTTCATCTGCCCTGAATTGGACAGTCTACAGATTAGGAAGATGGATTTGAAGAGGCAACACTGGCGGTTGCATTTCAAATAAACCAAAACTAAAAAGACGCCAGGCAGCTTCACATGGAGAAACCCACCGTCCAGACTGGAATTGTTCTATTTCATCCCTGGGTTTTGGATTCTCTGCAGAAGAAACATTGAAAGAAATACAATCATGCCCCTTGTAGACATATTTGTAAAGATATTTCACAGCCCGGATTGTTGAACACACTTCAACATTCACGTGGAAATTAAAGAGAGCTAACAAATGAGGATTATATGGAATAACCCATCTGTTATCCATAAGTTTCTTCTGAATCATTATTGTTTCTCTAGTATCGCGCCTTTTATACAGAGGATATCCATCTTCTATTATAAATTGTTTTGGATAACCATACATATAAACACCAATTCGATCCTTATGTTTCATACAAGAGCATTTAGGATTTGCTTTCCCACATGGGCCATGCATCATGTGGGATAATATAGCTTCCCTTCAATGAAAATTTTCTGCTAAAGGTATCTCTGCGGTTACAAATTTATCAAAGGCAGCTGCATCTTTAATTTTATAACCAATATTAATAAAATATGAGCGTGAGGAAGCCCACGCTTTTGGAACTCAACAACATATATTAGTGCAGCAACTTCCCTAAAAAATTTCTTCTCCATCATTTGCTTCTTAAGTGCAATTAATGTTGCATGGAAAATCATTACAGCTAAACTAGGCCTATTCTGAGCAAGCTCTCCAGGAGCAAGTTCTTGTCTGATCTCCGGCCAGTTTGGATAACACGTAACCGCTGCACCAAAGTTATTGCATTCAAGTACCTGCTTCGTAAATCTCTTGGACCACCCAAAAAAGGAAGCAATATGACATAATAACCAACATTTGCAGAGTTGTTTTCCCCCACTCTCAAAACAATCAATAATTCCTTGATAAAGATCAGCACAAATGGCAGCCTGATTTCTGCGGAAAAAATCAAGTCTTGTGTTTTCTAGCTTAACATACATGTATATACTGTTGAAACAATCGAGAGGCTCGTAGCAAATAGTTTCCTTGCCTTATTTGCAACTTAAATGCATAATATTCTCTACAGGAAATTTTCTTTACTCTTTTTTTTTTGCCATTAGCTGCATCTGTATAATATACACAATATAGGAAGCTTAAAAATTAATAACTAACAATTCCATAAATAAAGTTTATGGAAAAGTAAAGTGCAAGTGTTAAGTATGAAATATTAATGGCATGTTTATTTTACTAAACAAAACTAATAATAGTTACAAGTTTAAATTCTCCAATTATCGCTAAATAATAAATCTACAGCACACTTAATATTACTCGAAATCTTATTCATATAGCTAATAACCATAGTAAAAGAAAAATCCTTTAAGACATAGATACAGACATTCATTCACCACACACAAAAGTAATCATAGTATCCATTATTGCTACACACAATTACCCCTAATGCAATGCTCATTACTTGGTTGCACACAATATATATACTTCATACAGTAACAGGATTAATAATTCATTGATTAGGTAAATGTATGAAAGCAAGAAAGAAAAGTTAGTACTCATTTGCTTCTTCTTTAGCCAGTAAATCTTCCACACTCTCAACTGTCTCTAGTGGACAAACTTCTTGTTGCAAGTGTATCTCACTATCAGCGGTATCTATTTTCTCTAGGCCTTCGTTCCATCCACCATCTCCATGCCGAAATAAAAGAGGATATTGAAGTGGATCATAGCACCCATAGTAGTGCATAATTCGATGAGCCCTATTTGTTTTACCATAAGCAATAATATGAGGACTACTATATTGGCTAGACGATGTTTCTTCTGACCATATAACAGCCACCTCGTTTGCAGTTAGCGCATTGTAGACTCTCTGGTTAAGAACTGGATTCCTTTTTAAATGAATTTCATTGCTTTCGACAACAAGAATTTCTCTGAGCGAACGAAAAAACTGAGCATGTGGATTGCATTTTATTATCTCCATAAGAAGCTAAACTATTTCTTGTTCCACCTCTGGAAAAGTAGATGTACAATTCATGATTTCGTGCTCTGCATCATAAAAGTACATATGCAGATACTTAGGGTGTTCATCATCAAGTAAAAAGTCAGGAAGATAATAATATATTTAACCATGCAGCTTGAACACATATATTCCTTATTGAGTATTAGCTTTAATGGTTCTCCCCAATGGAGTAAATGCAAAAAGATTATTATACATGCGAGAATATGTTCTAAAGTGAATACTTGCTGCATCCTGAGAAGTAAAAAGTCGAATCAACTGTGGTGGCCATGCATTCTCAGCCACTTGTACACCACTATTCCGACAACAAAAGAAAGGTGATTCATAAGCAAACTTATTTGCATAGCACTTGGAACAGAATGCAGGAGTAGGCAACTAAAGAGGCTCAATAGGCACTTCTGTATCATATATTAATGTAACAGCTTCAATTGATACATAAGTAAAATATATTAACGACAATATTTTCAAAAAATAGAGCTAACCATTATTGTTAAAGAAAGGTAAGATATGTGTCAATACCTTCAGGTTTTTTCTTTGTCTCTTTTCTATTTGTTTGAGAATGTTTTGCATTTCCAACAACTTTGGGAATAACATTTGTAAACTCACTGAAGCTAATTCCAGCCTTTAAAGCTTTTAAACGCTTAGTATTATACTGTCTAGAATTGATGCCAACAGAAAAACCATCAGCATTAATAAAGGCTTGATTACATTTTGATTTACGTGTTGCTACTGGCTTCTGTTTCTTATTTGTTGTTAACGAACTTGTAAGGCATTGCACCACAGTAACTGATAAATTTGCAATAGGTGATTGAGTGTCTTTGGATTTATGCTTCATAATTTTACGCGGCCTCACTAATGATTCCGCATGAAGCAATTTGGGGAAAAAAAACAAAAAATTTATAGACTGATCTCCCCATGTATGGGATATAAGCTGCAAGAACTTATAAGAACACAATATGTAATGAAATATAGGCATTAATACACATGCAACCTAACTTTAAATTTACTTTAAATCTTTCCTTACAAACTGGAGAATTAACACATACATATAAATACATAAAATGCGATAGACTCTTAGAATATCCACTAATTTTAAAAAGCAGGTGTAAAGGAATGAACCCATATTTTAGGCATGGCATGTAAAGTAGCTTCGAATACACTTCTTTCTTGCAATATAATGTGGAGTATTTAATTAAACCCTAAAAAGGCCCAAAATCTAAATAATTATACATAGACATACAATCAGAATTCAAATAAAACCATATGCATTCTGCAAATTTGCAGTATAATACTAGAGTCCCTTAATATAGCAAAAGATAAGTGCAAAATTTAAAGAAAAGCCTTTTAAGTCAACAAAATAAAGAAACATCTTCTTTGATTAAGTGATAAAACATACACCACTTCAGTAGCAACAACATTGGAAATGGCTATGGTTAAGTATTACATGATAATATACAGACCGTAAACCCCAAGTACAGACTTATAATACCTATATACATGCTACT